GTTGGGGCTTCAATTTAAACAATTCTTGGAATAGAGTTGCCATCACGAAAACTAAATGTGAGCAACGAAACAGCGAAACATAATAAAATACATATTTACCATACATATGCAAAAAAGGTGCATCCCTTTAGGGAGTTAGTTCAATTTAGAATTTCATACAAAAAGAAAACATAATAATTTTTGGTTTAAGTACACTTTATGGTTATAAAGACATAATTTGATAGAATAGTGAGAAAAGTGTTTTTCCTTGTCCGTTCGTTCCTTTTTCTCGAAACTTCACTTTACAAGTCGGTCGACTACCTTGATATAATCTCCAAAGAAATTGTTTAAATCGAAGCACTAGAACATATACCTGCCATACAAACTGACCGATCAAACTAAAGTAATTGTATGAAAAACCGTTTTATTTCGCAAGATATCTTCACGAAATTTAGCTTGCGAGTATACTTGTATTATTATCTAGGACCTTGATACAATTTACAATACAAAGAAATTGCTTAGATCAGACACCTATAGCATATAACTGCCATGCAAACTGAACGAGCAAATGACGTCGTGATGCAAATTGTTTTATTTGATGAGATATTTTCACGAAATTTGGCAAAAATTATTCTCCAAAGTGTTGCTACAATCTCCAACACATATTGTTCAGATCGGAGCACTATAGCCTATAGCTGCTATACAAACTGACTGATCAAAATCAGATCATAGATATTTTTATACCCTTATGTGATATAAAAAATGCACCTGTGAAGGGTGTTATAGCAGTTTTTACTAATTTGGACTAAAATGCATGTTCAATAAAGCGTGAAAGAGGGGAATTCGATTGCTGTTTTATTCCCAGAATAAATTTTGAAAATTAGGCCTTTTTTGGAGCTCTATGGTAGCTTATTTATAAATGTCTTCCAGCAAGGGCTGTAAATAAAGTTTTCTTATTTTAAGTAAGCTTTTTGTATACTTTAAAGTATAAAGTTCACAAGTTCCATAATTTTGCTGAGCTAATTTAATCAAATATATATAAATGATAATTTTAATTACTTACGGCAAGTTGTGCAAGTACATAACATATTATATACTATATAGCGCTTGCAGTTCTAACAATTGCTAGTAAAATATTTGTCGTGGATATTGAGAATCATGCAATTGCATATGCCACAAATACGCGCGGCGTACTTATATAAGCTGCAACTGCCGCAAATCAAACACTTGCATGAAATTGCGTTGCAATCGTACACACAACACATATACACACATACATACATATATGCGAGCAAATACAGTGACTGCAGAGTGGCCCAAAAGTAAATACAAATGCGGGCAAACTCAAAGCTTATGCATAACGGTACTTATATATATGCAAACATCCATACATACATATATAAGTACATATGTATTGGCATATGTTTGTATATGCTCTCAACTGCACATGTATTGTAATCTATATACCTTGGTACATATTTGCACTTGCATGCGATTGTGTGTGTTTGTACAGACATTTGTCTGAATTTATTTTTTGCACCAGCGCCCGGTAGTCGTATTTTATGAAAGCACTCGTTAGTGCACTTTGGAGCCGGAAAAAAACGTCGCGCCAACGCTACGCTTACCAATCGTGTATGTTGCAGTTCGTTAGCGCTTTTGAATTGCCTCATAGGAACATACATACATTAATCCATACATAAATACATACATATGGTATATATAGAGATTTTCTCAGCTTCGTTTCTACACGTAAAAATATTGAATAAACTTTTATGCATACATATTTGAATATATACATATGTATAATAATATATATATACAGCCATATAGATATATTATTTGCTGTCTGGAAATGTTTTACATTTATAGTTATTTATATACAAAGGTATATCCTCACTGAGGATGTAAGCCCATCGGATACGCCTATTTAAAGAAATGAGAATATAATAGTCGCATTTTCTAAAAATAAATATATGCAGAAATAGTTCAGTACCAATGCAAATACATCTGACTTAATCTAATCTTCGTGAAATATAGTGGGGTCGGTACAAAAGGTTGCTTGAAATGCAACACTGCACTTTACAAATAACACCTTTGAGTATACAATAACCAACAACTAGCAAAACCGACAACAGCCTAATATTATGTTAGTTAATAAAGTTCGCAAAAAATACTTGAGACGTTTTTTTGTTACACACAGAAAAATAATACAGTGAACTGGAATTTCTGTTATTATTTTTTCTGACATGTGGCAACTCTATTTAGAAATATTCCTTAGCCAACAACTTGCTGGCTACTTTCCGAGGCATAAAGAAAGGTTTTAATTTTAACATAATTTTTTTGTGAAAAAATCAATTTTTTTATGGAAGGAAAGTCTATTTAGAAAAAATATATTATTTCTTTTGAATACTTTTAGACACATTCCAAAGTTTATAGAGAAATTTCTACAAACATAGTTAGTTTGGATCCTTTTTAACTAGAGTTTTATCTATCTGTCTGATCCTATATTGTCCCCCTTTAAGGACAAGAATAGCAAAAATCAAGTAGGTTCCATAAATTATATAATATTTATTACTTTTATCAAATTCAAAATTCAGACAAATTTGGGATCCAAATATCGTCTTCCTAAGATGAATAAAAATTTCTAGTAAACATATATATTATTTCCGTTAATAAATTCATCAATGTGAAGAATTACAAACAAATTGTGTGCTTCATGATTTAGCTTTGACTTCTCTACCTAGAGGTAGCCATCAATATGTGCACCACGGCGTATACGCATCGACATGTGTGGCGTGGGGTTGCGTGTCAAGGTAAAATGCCTAAAAACCAGCTTAGCACACAAATTCACGCACTCACTCACCCGTATTTATTCTCACTCATATTTCTTCACACTCACCGTATGTAAATATGTACCTAATTGTTGTGGGCTGCGAATGAGTGCAACCACTTATGCGGTATTTTCTTCAGTCGCGACAATAATAAATAATTCATAGGTGCGCTTGGTTGGTATGTGACAGGGATGGGAAGCCAGTGAGAGTATACATATATATATGTAAGTATCTGAGGAAGATGGTGGCCACTCTTTATATAAACATTCATACATAGTTATAAATATAGTTTGGTTGGCGGCTTTTAAAAGCAGCATATATGATGTTATGAATAACTTAATCCGTCTACAATGGATAAAGTCAAATATACATGAAAAGCGTAATTGTAGCAAATAGTTGTTAAGACAAAAATGTATTACTTTATGTATAAACATGTGTATTTGTTGTTTTATAGAAATAGCTCTTTCAAAGCGAAAAAAAATACTTTTTTTTAAACAAATTTTCTCAGATAACTTCTTTTTTATGGCAAATTGTAATAATTAAAATTTAAATAACTAATTTCACAAATTTAAAAATTTTAAACAGATGGCACCACTTAATATAAATTTATTTTAATATCTCTAACGTATTTTTCCTTTTGTGTAGGTTTTGCTGCACATATCCCATTGTGTTAGCTTACCACAACTTCTTTTATAAATTGGTGGCAACGCTTTTATGAAATAGTTTCCAATATTCTCATTATAAAACTCAATGAAAACTAAATGGCTTTCAAATCCATACTATAACAGTTTTAGTCTTTACAATTTTTCAACAGCTGGCAACTCTTCCCGGAAAATGCATTTTAAATTTTTACCTTGCTCGTCAGTTTAATACCCCTATTGCGATTTTCATTCCACTGATTAATCTGTTTTGTTTGAAAATTTTAAATACTTGGCAAACTTTTAATGTGATAGGTCAAGGTGATTCAAATAATTCTATAAAATTTGCATCTTTAATCTTTTCTCTCACTTTAGCCGAAGCTATCGAAATTTATCGGAATAATCAAAGGGCTTATAAATGACGACTTGTAGCTTTGCATCTCTTCTCTGGACCCAACTTAAGAAAAGAAAAATTTGGAGCTAGTAGTGAGTAGTATTCTTTACCAATTTGCTCATGTCAATGAATATTAATCTGATTTAAAAAATTAAAATTGTTTAAGAGATACCTCATATTACTGCACCGTACCTTTTAAAATTTTGAACTTTATTTCTGTGCATAGTTTACAAGGTAACGATTTGTTGCGGTTTTCCCTGCAAGGTTCCAAAATATTAAAATTAGAATTTTTCGAAAAATCCTGTCGGTGTTACCAGGTGAAAACTATTATTTAACCGATTCAGAAGAATTTTTTGACTTTCTAAAATTATACTTAGTCCTTTCCTAAAATTTCGTGAAAAAAGAGAGCAATAAAATATATAACGGCAAATTATAAGAATATTGATAAGTTTTGCACACCGAACTAACAGTTATTTTGTTAGAGATATCAGATAATAAAAACTTTTAGCGTAAACCGTATAGAAAAGTCATATCTAATAAATTCTTTGCAAAGCAACCAGTATAAAGTGACCTGAAAAGATATGGCGTGAAATACTAGACTAGAACCGAAAATTGCAAAAATTAAGACAGAGAAGCAAAACGAAAATTGCTTCTTATAGAATAAAAAGTTGTTTTTTCTAATTGCACCGAAATGATAGCTTATATTATATTTATATTACGGACTACGATATCATATTTAAATTGTGATCCTTTTCAGAGATAGTTAAGGTCATGTGTAAGCTATCTCTAAACCATCTATAGTCGGCACTCTAGGTTAGATTAGGCTAGGTTATAAGGTCGCTGCTAAAAGAGATATGACCCTTACAAAGCGACAACGCATTTCGAGGCATTCACAAATTTGTTGAAACGGCTAATGTCAGTTTCGAATATGCCGAAATGTTTTAACCTCAGTCTTGCAAAGGCTCGACATTGACTGTACTGTAAATAGTATTTACTGTTTAAAATTGTTATCTACATCATTTTATGTGCAAAAATGTAAAATATTATATATCAGTTAATTTAAAAATCACCCTAATGTACTCATGTATCAGTAAATATAAATTGACTAAACTTTGATACAAGAAAAACAAAAAAAAAAGAGACATAAATCATACCAACCTTAGTATGTTCAGCATCCGATATCCTTTCAAGCGCCTCCTAACCACTTCTATCTTGAAAAGAGTTTTATCCCTTCGCTTATGTTTAATTACATTAACACCCACACAAGATTCACATAATTTGCTGTCATTTTGCTTCGCTTGTTTTTTCACAACATCATCGTTTTTGCAGCTGAAAACGAGCTGTTTTTACAATGCCAGTGTCGGTGAACTCATCAATAAAACTTCAGGCGTTAACGAGCTCTGTGTGTGAGAGTTGGCTAGTGGAGATACTTGAATAAAGCGCCAAAATACAGCAAGAACCATTAGGATGCAACGGAGAGTTAACAGTCAAAACCAATCGAGATTTGAAGCTAAATCGAAACCGGAACCGAAACCGAAAAATTCAAAGCGAATCTGTAACCCGCACCGACACTTCGTACGCCCTCGTACCTTCTTTTCCACAAAAGCTTAGTAGTACACGACTCCACCACCCGTTGGCAATAGACACGTACACTTTGTTGTTGTATTTAAGCAATAAAGCTCATTCGCCTTGAGTAACATGATAATTTCGGTGCTTGTTTATATAATATGCGGGTTTCACAAGAACTGTATGCCTACGAGCGCACACACCTACACACGTATGTATACGGCTAAAAACACTTATTAACGGTTGTTTCGTCGTGCTACCGTAATTATTATTTTTTCTTTTTTAATTGGTTCTGCTGGTGCTCTTTTCGGTTGACAACAACTGCCGTTAACAATCAAACTCGATCTTTCATTCGAAATAACTTCATCGCGAGGAAATCAGTTGCTCTTTTAAAGGCTTGGCAATTATTGTGATTAAAGCCAAACGCCCACAACCGCAGCAAAGGTGTGAAATTTTCGCCGGAAGTCGATGTGTTGCTTTCAGCGCGTGGCCACTTGACTCAGCGCAAGAATGATGTGGCTGCGGATATCGGTGGTGACAATGTTGTTGCTCTTATTGTTGCTGCTAGGTGTGAAAAAAACGTTGTTGTTATGGTTGCGGTATTATTTTTATTTTTTCACGTGGGCTTTTTCGCGTTTCACTTGAGTCATTAAATTTTTGTTTTAAAATACGGGGACCTCTTTGGCTGCTTTGTTCTTTAAGATAATATACTTAAAAGTTCTTTTTCATATAATTTTCCTACAAGGATTTTAAGTTTATAAACAGTATCTTTGCGACACAGTTTAAATAACTGTACAGTGAAATAATAACAAAGAAATGGCTTTCAGATTTGCATTTATTGGCTATTATTGTTGTTATATTTTAATTTTTCCGTTTTTTGTTGTTGGATTTTTGAATTTGGTTTTTATTGTTTTGAGGTTAGTTTTGTTGTTGTTTGGTTGCTGTTATTGCTTCTTATCTTTGTTGTAGACACATTCTCCTAAGGCTTTTTCTAACACACTGAGCTAAGTACAGGCAAGTTCCCTTTACGTAGTTCCGACTTTAGAGAAATTGATTTTCATTGGTTAAGTTAGGCTAGGTTAAGAGATCGATCTTAACAGGGATATCATTTGGACAGCTTAGAACGCGGGCCGTTGTATTGCCCACAACTCCCATATAATATATTAAAAAACCCTTACAAATCAACAAAGTGCTTAGAGCATATCAAAAATTTGTTGAGTCGGCTAATGTCAGTTTCGGCTATGTCTCCTTGTTCGCCGAAGGTAAAACTGTCGAGATGGTTCATCTTCCATACGTCTACCGTCAGCTTAATAGCATCCACTTGAAAGACTCTACAGTGATCCGGTAGCCTAAAGCTAAGATTCACGGAGAGCTACTTACCGAAAACTCCTCCTCCAAAATTCCCTCCTAGCTTCAACCTATCAGTGAAAAGGGTCACTGCGCCTCTTCTCCAGTGAATTTTTCTCATCACATATCCCTCGCGGTATGTGAGCAGCGCCGCCACGAGTAGCCTCTGCGATGTGTCAAGTGATTTCAGGAATGCAGTTGAAGGAGGAGAGAATTTCGGCGTGCCCTCGTTCGGACTCCTTTTTCAGTTTCCCTGAGACTTAGTGCGTACTTCGCAGCAGTGCACCTGTCCGCAATGTCCATGTAAAATGGCATTAAGTACTTTCGGTGGTGTAGTCCACCAGTGATGCTTATGAGAGCCTTTCTTTGGACACGGTTAAGCTTCTTAGCAAGTGTAGCCGTTTCGAGCACCCTCCACCAAATGAATAAACCATAGAACATTATTGGCTTGATTACGGTTTCGTTGAGCTAAAGCGCCACCTTAGGTGAGAGTCCCTACCTTTTTCCTATAGCTCCTCTACAGCAATATAAGACAACATATGTCTTCCTTACTCACTTATCAATATTTGGCATCCATGAAAACTTTCTATCAACAAGTTGACAACCTCCGAATGAGTGGAGATGCACGTCTGGGATCTTGTGTCTTCCTCTTCTTTGCAAGTAGCAAACAAAGGAATTTTAGAAAATATGCTTTATCAAGCTGTCTCTATTTACTCAATTTCCTACTAAATCTGGTTTACATGAAAATAAGAGTGAATTCATTGCAAATTATAAAGTGTGAGTTCTCCAGTTACTGCCTCTTCTTAACTAGTGACACTTCTGGTTTTAAAATTGCATGTACTCATGAGCTCAAATACAAAATTCTCATACTATATAACATATACATAGGCATTGTACGGGTAGGTAAGCGTGTTTATATTTATATGTTTAGTTTATTGAATATTCCTTTACGGCCAATAAAAGAAATACAATAACAACGTAATTTCCAGCCAAATGCTATATTCCATTTGTTTATAAATTTCATTTTATTTTATTCGAGTAGTTGTGTTGTTTATTGGTAAAGTTTTATTCGTAAGCACACACACATGCTCAATAAATGTTAATGTTATCGTAAAAATTTAACGCGACAACAAGAATTGCGTATATATGTACACATGTATTTGTACAGTTCTTTGCCTATACAACAAAAATAATGCAGCTAAAGCTCAAGAACAAAATGGATAAAAACAAGTATGAAAGAATATACTTAGTTTGATCAATTTTATAAATGAAAAATTTAAATCTTCTTAATGTAATCTGACACTTTGCCACTTTGTTAAGTCAAAATAGTTGAGTAAATAAAGTAATAATTCATATGGGTATCACAATGTAGAGATATAAGGAAGTTTGCAATTGAAAGTATTTTAAAAGGGGTTGCTAGCCTTTTAAAATTAAGTTTTTGCTATCAAATTTATAAAGTTGATAAAATGTTCAGTACGGGTATTAATAATTAAACAGTTATAACACAAAAAAAAATTTTAGAATATAATTCACTTCACAAATAAAAATTTACTTCATTTTGACCGGTCAGCTTATATGGCAGCTATATGCTATAGTGATTCGATCTGAAGAATTTATACGGATATTGTACTTCCTGGAGGGAAAAGGACGTGTGTCAAAATTCAGATCGATATCTCATAAGCTGAGGGACTATATAAAGAAATATTACAATGTGTTGGTTGTTTTTTATATTTCGGGATTTCGCAAACCATTGTGTTCTGGCAGCGTATTATTTTATCATAAAATTTGACATTTTTGACGTTATACATACTCAGAACGTTTTGAAGCACCAGCGGTATTTGTGTTGTTAAAGTAACTTAAAATGTTTATCTCGGTCAAAAAATAGAATCAAATCGAGAACATTTTCGCGCGATTATTTCTTACAGCTACCGACGTCGATTAACTCAGCAACTGTGGATCGATGCACTTAATTACATTTTTGGCGATGAAGATCCATCAAGGGCCAGTGTTTATCGATGGTATGGCGAATTCAATCTAGGTCAAAGACCACACCAAGAAGCATCTGAAATCAGTTGTTGTGTCGGAAACTATAAGGGTTGTGCGCAAACCCATATTGTAAGATTTTTCAATCGCCCAAAAAAAGGCTCATGTCGAATGGTCGAAAAATATGTTAAAAAAATACGAGAGCGGTCTGTGACATCGTGACACGTGTTAAATCGCGGATTTATGCGTATGAGCCTGAAAAAGTGACAACAGTGCTTGAATAATTATCTCAAACGCATGCAAAAGTGTATACATCTTAATGAAGAATATTTTGAAATATTTGTTTTTGTTCTCTAATACCGAATTATAAATGGCAAACCTCGTAAGAGTAGCACACGAGATTTAACGAAACTTATAATTGAACATAGTTTAAGTAGGGTTGCTATCTACTACTACTTGAGTGGCGTAGGCACCGAATCAACAATAGCCCGATATTCGTTTCTTCCAACGAAGCAGATTTCTTTCTTTCCTCTGCTTCATTCAGCGAGTACGCATCAAACCCATTTAAGGATGGAGACATGGGGCCATGCGTAGAATGGCCAGAGATGATTCTTCTTCATATAGTTCAAATAGCTCACTACATCCGTTTAAAGGCGACTAAGAGAGGCGAACGCCCATGTGCGTAGGGTTTGGAATCCATCAAGTAAAAAACCTGCCGTAACGAAAAATCAACCAAAGCGTTAAATAAGTGAACCCCTTATGATAAGAGTTGCCAGCTATTTCAATTTATTTATACACAATTAAAAATATTGAATTAATTAATACAATTAGAGCAATTAAAATAATGTATTTGAGAATTTTTTGCTGTCTATAAATTTTTAAATATGGATCCCTTACTGCAGGAGACCTTCACTTCAGGACTATCATTTGGCATAAACCTATATCAACTAAGTATGACAAAAAAATAAGGTAGTTATCAAATCATCAAATTCACTACTTTTTTAGATATTATTAACTTTTTAGTTGCGAGTTGCATTTAATCATAACAAAATAATAACTAAAAATACCGTTATTCTAATCATATCACTTGAATGCGTACAAATTTACTTAACGCACTTTTGAGCGCTTTCAATTATAGTTATACTATACTTAACCAACTTTTCGCTCGCCCTCGGCTGCACAAAACCGAAATTACCTAAGCGGCGTGAAATACTTGTTGATGATGTAATCAAGATTGTCAAAGCTAATGCGATTAAAATACTTGAAACCTAAAAAAGATATCTACTAAACGCCTTCTTAACGGTAACTGTTAGCCTACTTTTAGGGTGTTTGCTTAAAAAGTTATTTCGCGCGAAACCCCTCAACGCTTACTTGGCCAATTCTTCCTATTTTTTATTCATTTCGCAGAAATCTTTTTTATCTGGGCGTGTAAGCTTGTCTCCACTACCACCAACATGTTTTGCCGAGCTTCTGCGTGTGTCTGTGTGTGGGTTACTGCTTTCTTTGGGTGCGTTTTTGTTAGCTTGGCTAGCACATAAATTTAATTCCGTCAAAATGTTTCGTCATTATGCGCGATTTATGTTTTCATTATGCGAGCAAAGACGTTCTGTTTAACCTTGCCTCGTGACCCATTTGCAGCAGAGTTGTGCTTATCATGCTTTCGCACGCGTTGAATTCCTCTAACACCGTTTGAAACATGATGTGTTGTGGCAAATCTGTGTCGATATTATTTGCCTAACCGTACAAGTGTCAGTTTGCGGTGTTTAAGAATTGGAGGTTTGTTGAAAACCATTTGTCATGTGGTATACTCGTAATTTACATTCGTCAACAATTGCAAATACATACATACATAAATACGTATACATATTTATTTTTCGGTTAAGTCGATCAAAATGACACTCGAATTGAAAGCATAATCACATGATATGACAGCATTTGACATGTCAAATATAAAAAGCGTCAGCATGTCGCTGAATTTCTGGATTTGACAGCTGAGAGCGCGTGGAAGAACAAAAAAGATTTCGTGTTATGATTTCCTTCGTTTCTTTGTGACTGACAAGTACTAAGATTTTCAATTTGAATGGCAAATAAAATTAAACAAGTAAGCAAGCGCTAAGCTCGTTTGTAACCGAAAACCTTACACTCTCGCAAGTTTCAGAGATCAAAGCCGAGCGCATATTTGCAGATATTGGTAACCCTAAGCAAGTTGGTAAGTGCTAAATTTCATTAATATATCTCACAGAGTGACCGATATTTTCGATAAAGAGTTTGCAACATCACACATTCGGTATCTGGGAGCTTGAGCGTTATGGTTGATTACGATTTTTTTGGTATGGCGTATATTGAAGACACTATTTGAGGAAAA